AAATGGAGTGTATTTATGTGTAGTTGGCTCCAGAAAAATCAAATTGTAGAAGATGTTTATTTCCCAAATAAATATAAGGTTTAAGTGGTTACTGTTAATTCGTAGGCCAAACCGATCCAAAAATATACACTTAACGAATCTTTTCTCCTTGAAATTGATCTCCTCTTAGTTGCTTATCAAACCAGACTACAATCTTATATGTTAGTTTTTACTACAAGTTAATTGATGTAGACTGTAATATCCGCCATGTTTTCGGCAGACAATCGATGACGTAGTAACTATTGGCGTCCTGAATGAGTAACCTTCACTTAGTAGGCTTCTTTATTTAGGAGATCGATTACCTCATTTTATCAAATCTGTGATTTTTTTTTTTGTAGTTAGACACGATATTTAAATAAGTGTTAATAAATTTCGTGCTTCTGTAGCTAAGTTGTAAAACAGAGCTACGGTTAAAAAAAAATCAGAACACCCCCCTTCATTTCATAAGTTTTATTATAATCAGCTTTAGGTAATAATTTCATTTTTACCGTCTCTTCCTGAGGCTATACCATTGTACACAAACCTTCTAAACAATCTCCTGAAGCTATACCATTAGGGGTTAACCTCCTAAACGAACTCCTGAGGCTATACCATTGTGGGTGAACCTCCTAAACAATCTCCTGAAGCTATACCATTGTGGGTAAACCTCCTAAACGAATTCCTGAGACTATACTATTGTACACAAACCTCCTAAACAATCTCCTGAAGCTATACCATTGTGGGTAAACCTCCTAAACGAACTCCTGAGACTATACTATTGTACACAAACCTCCTAAACGAACTCCTGAGGCTATACCATTGTGGGTAAACCTCCTAAACGAACTCCTGAGGCTATACCATTGTGGGTAAACCTCCTAAACGAACTCCTGAAGCTATACCATTGTGGGGAAACCTTCTAAACGAACTCCTGAGGCTATACCATTGTGGGTAAACCTCCTAAACAATACTTTTGAGTGTTATGAACATGAAAAAAAACTTCTTAGTTTGATGACGTTTCTTGAAAGATTATTTATAGATTATCTGTTTAAGTACAAATGTGCGCTATACCCGCTGCAGAGATCGAACTCCGAATTATAGTGTTATAAGCATTTAAGCCTACCACTAAGCTATATAAGACAATCTTCGAGAAGCTATACCATTATGGGTAAACCTCCTAAACGAACTCCTGAGGCTATACCATTGTACACAAACCTCCTAAACAATCTCCTGAAGCTATACCATTGGGGGTTAACCTCCTAAACGAACTCCTGAGGCTATACCATTGTACACAAACCTCCTAAACAATCTCCTGAAGCTATACCATTGGGGGTTAACCTCCTAAACGAATTCCTGAGACTATACTATTGTACACAAACCTCCTAAACAATTTCCTGAAGCTATACCATTGTGGGTAAACCTCCTAAACGAACTCCAGGAGGTTTGTGTACAATAGTATAGTCTCAGGAGTTCGTTTAGGAGGTCTGTGTACAATAGTATAGCTTCAGGAGATTGTTTAGGAGGTTTGTGTACAATAGTATAGTCTCAGGAGTTCGTTTAGGAGGTTTGTGTACAATAGTATAGCTTCAGGAGATTGTTTATCTACAATGACTTAAGCCTTTCTTGGAGATACGACAGATTGAATACTTTTTTATAGCATACAATTTTCATGTATGATTTCCCCAAAGAATTTGAAGAGATTCGTGAACTTTTCCTTGCCCACCATTATAAAAGATAGCTGCTCATTCAATTCAAATTTGGGTTTAAGGTTTTATTCATTTTGTTTTAACTGGATAAAAAATCATTTCAAGGCCTAGAATTAAAAATAACACATCTTTATTTACTCAATGCTGTTGAAAAATACTGTTTTCATTGAATCTACTGTATGGATAACAATGTAATGTTTATAACGTTGAAAATCATTCAAGTGGTTTCCTCGGGGGACTCGAACCCAAAATTTTAGTGTTGTAAGTCCGTAAAGATGCCGCTAACCAACTTCTAAAATCAATTTGTAATCTCAATGTACACGCAAAAACTGAATAAAAACTTGACTACTTTCGTCTTTTATTTTCAACATTATTCATAAATAATACATCAAGGCTTAACAGACCATTCCAAAATACTAAGTCAAATGACTTTTTATTACTCATCTGGTATTCTTTTTTATCTTTTAGACTCTAATTTACGATATTTAAATTATCAGAATGAACATATTCAACAACTGACAAGATAAAAAAAAAGCTTAGCTTTTTTGTAGCTCCATCTGGTATAAATAAAAAGAGTAATTCTAATATATTAAAGAAAATATAATCAAATAATTCGAGATTATTTTTAAACATAAAATTATACGTCGTGAAACTGGTTCTTAAAAATATAGGTTCTGTTATTTATTGATTTATTTCGCAAAACTAACATTTGTTAGTAAAGCTGTTTTAAATAAGGTTTGGGAACAGGGTAAAACAAGACAAAAATAATTTTAGAGTTTTGTGGCTCCATCTCGTTTAAAAAAAAAGTAATTCTAATATATTAAAGAATAGGATAAAACAAGATTTTCGAGAACGTAAATACTGTAAAGTAAGCTAAATTTTCAATTTGTTCTTTCAGTTAACTGAACCCAGGTTTTCAGAAAACGTTCGTGTGTAGTATTAAATAACGAAGAAAAAAGCCTTTACTACAACATAATTTACCAGTTTTTGTTCGCCATTAACACAATCTATTTTAGCGATTGAAAACTAAACCTATTTTTTCCTCTCTTCATCACATATAGTTCACCTTCTTTTATTAACTTATCTAAAGATTAACGATATAAAAAACATTTTTTCCGTGATAACTTTAAATAATAAATATTTAAAAGACCACAAGTAGACAGTCAAACATTTTCGATTCAACATAATTATGAAACAAAAATATATACATCTTTAAGCACGGATATATTTATTTAAAACATGTTGAGATTAATCGTATACTTAAGCCTCATAATTTCTCCTTTTTACACACTGCAACTTCACTGTAAAGATATACAAGAGTTGCTCTATACAGAGGTTAAAGTTGAAAACTCTCAACCCAGAGCGTTTTTCCTTTAGACTACGAAGACAATGTCCATCAAGAAAAGGCAATAACATATATATATATATAAATATATAAAACATACGTTTTACAAAACTTTATATATGCTATATTACATACAAATTTCTAAAAGAAACACATTTTACATAATATATATTTCTATTTATTAAGGTTAGTAAAACAAACTATAATTTCCATTTTCTTGCAAAAAACATGTAGAAATATAGAACAAAAGCACCAGAATTGATTTCATATGAAAATATAGAAAATTAATGGGTTTATGCATTTTTTTTTTCAAAATATCAGTTAACACCAGTCTTTGGAGAATAGTAGTCGCTGGCTAACGTTATTAGTCTTGTAATAATTTCTAAATGTGCCAAGTTCCAAAACTCACCGATAGGTGATACTTTTGTACATGGAAAAGGATTAGGAGAAAACCTAGGAGGATCTGTGCTAATTCGAAACAAGCGTAACAACAATTGAAAATAAATTAATATATCATACAAACAAAAAAATATTAGACTATCATACTTATTGAACTTTGCGAGGGTGAATGTTATATTTTTATAAAATTAGATGATTTATGGAGCAAGTGATCAAAATCCAATTCTGACAATAACCGACGAATTTCGTATACTAAAAGAATAATATAATAATATAAAAATGAAGTCATTAAAAACAATAAAATGTAGTCAATTATAAGTTGATTCTCCCACATATCTTCAAAAAACCGAGAACATTCCAGTTTAACATAAAAATAATATATATATGTATTTACTAGTCTCATTTATTAATTGAACTGAAGAAAAGATTGGTCTACAGCTTATTGTGTGACAAAAAAAAGGCACGTTTACAAAATCTTTTGTAACAGCCTTTTATAAAATAACAAATAAATACAGCGTTCTGTTACCAAGCAAAATGTAGAACAAAACATTTATAATATATTTCAGTCTCTACATTAGAGTTCATTAAAATCAAAACTCGAAACTATTTTGTTTAGGTATTAAGACTATTTTCAGGCTATGTATTGTTCTGTGTTATCAAAAAATGTTAGGCCTTTTGTTTCGTAAAACTTACAATGTTTAATTATCCATTAAAATAATCAAACAAAGAAGCGTGCCAAAAATGTTCTCCACTCAGAGCTCTCTATTGAGAAGTTGAAAAACACAAACTCTTGGCATTCTCTCAAATCAACAAACCCGTAAATTACAATTTTAAATAATAAAGATAAATTATATCTCACAGTTAGCAGACAAGAGTATACGGTACATATGCATCTCTTACAAATTCCCCAACTTTTCCCATTCTTACAAAAAATATACATTTTATATTGTTATTGACAAATACGAGTAGAATAATACTGAAAACAAGAGTTTAACTCAGTGTATTTTAATATTGCTACAGCTCACGGCAATACTATTAGTCTTAACCCTAATGGCATTCATGATAATACCATTAGCCTTAACCCTAATGTCATTCATGATAATACCATTGGCCTTAACCCTAATGTCATTCATGATAATACCATTGGCCTTAACCCTAATGTCATTCACGGTAAAACCATTAGCATTAACCATATAGTCATTAAAAATAATCTTGTTTTAACACTTTCCTAACTTACATGTTGTAACCCTTTATGTTTTAACACTTTCCTAACTTACATGTTGTAACCCTTTATGTTTTTACACTTTCCTAACTTACATGTTGTAACCCTTTATGTTATACCACTTTCCTAACTTACATGTTGTAACCCTTTATGTTTTTACACTTTCCTAACTTACATGTTGTAACTTTTTATGTTTTAACACTTTCCTAACTTACATGTTGTAACCCCTTTATGTTATAACACTTTCCTAACTTACATGTTGTAACTTTTTATGTTTTAACACTTTCCTAACTTACATGTTGTAACCCTTTATTCCATTTTATTTTAGTTAACTAATCTACAGTTATTTTTATCCTATGTTAATTTTATTTTACAATAAATTCATTACACTACTATTGATTTTACTTTAGAATTCGTCAAAGATGGATCGATACCATTTCGACACATCCATCATTACGTCACATGACATTTCTGCTTGACCACCAACCTAAGCAACGTCCAGAACCACATAGAAAACTTTCTGCCCTAGTGGAGAAACCTCTACATATCCTACAGCCATGTTTTAAGTTTCTATATAAATCTATATTTAATCTTAAATGATATCTATTCATTTGACAACAACGTTTAGCAAGGACTACTAAAATAATTTTATCAATATATTCTACCCTAACCTTCACATTGAACCTAGCGGGATTATAATACAACTTTAACATCACTAGTTAGCTTTTCAGATACATATATATATATGGTTATATCGTAAAGGCTGCATAGAATGTGAAGTGCGCGGGTAGAAGAACAGGAAAAAAATACTAGCTTGACTTTGAACACTTTATAAACGCGTTTGACTATTTTCTACACAGACGAACACTTATCTTGAATATCGTCTCTAATTCCCTATCTAGCGCGACATTCATATACAAGCATTTACTACTTTGAATGTACTTTATAAGCTGACTAAAAAGGCCTGTTTTTTGCTGTTATTTTTTTTGCAAATCACATTCTGTCTCTATATGAGCATATTTTATTGGTATATGTCAGTTAGACTATTTTTTTCTTGCTATGTTTTCTTAGAAATCTATCTATTACTCTATTAGCTCTATGGTAATCACAGATTCTAACGACGTTATGCCTAATATTCAAGCATAAGTCAGCTCTATGATAATCACAGATTCTAATGCCTAATATTCAAGCACAAGTCAGCTCTATGGTAATCACAGATTCTAACGACGTTATGCCTAATATTCAAGCACAAGTCAGCTCTATGATAATCACAGATTCTAACGACGTTATGCCTAATATTCAAGCACAAGTCAGCTCTATGGTAATCACAGATTCTAACGACGTTATGCCTAATATTCAAGCATATAACGTACAAAACTACGTTTCAAGAAAGATACCACTGTTGCCTGTGTTAGCGGATATTCCATAGAGAGATATATGAGAGGCTAAAGGAAACTTTGTGATCTGTGTTTTCATAACCACTAGTTTTTTTTCTCTCCGTCTTTCTTTTTTATTTCTACGTAGGTGGAGATCGTATATCCCCCCCCCCATTTGCTTTTTTAGAAATAAACGAATGTTATTAAGAAGCGACAGGAACGTATTTTTAAACGATTTCGGTATTGATTTGAACACGTCTTTCATGAGCATTTGGTTAAATTCACTGGGGTGCTAGGCCTACTGGGGGGTTGGTAAAACGTTTCCGAACGATGGATGGGCTGAGGATCGGCACGTCCAAAATCAATTCGGGGAAAGCAACTCTCGGACTTGGGCCGCGGAATGGTACATTTCAAAGCTGCGGCAATAGATCTGTCGTGCTTTCCTGGAAAAAACTTCTGTTCGTCCTGACCAAAATCGTCGCTTCCCGGAGCCTGCACAGAAAGAAGGATAGCATTGACGGTCTTCAGGTCACTCTGCAGGTCCTCCCGCTGACTGACAATGTTTGGATTTTTTCCAATTTTGTTAAGTCTTTCGGCAGCAACGGATTCCATGGTCCGCCGCATCACCGGAAACATGTCCAGAACGGCATTAAAATGGTCCACCGACAGGGAGAACAAGTGACAATAGGTTTCCGCTCGGACACTGGCTACTCGTCGAGTGTTGGTTAGCAGACATATTTCTAGAAAGAATTACATAGAGACTGGAATGAGTTACTTATCAGCCACGCAGATATGTAAAGTTTCTCTTGAAAACTTTTTAACAACACAAGTCAGTCAGATTAATTTTTTTAACTAACCAGAAATTAAACAGAATTAACAGGTTAATCGCTTGAAAAATAGTGCGAAAAATATGAAATTTCCCCATAAAAATAAACTATACACACACACACACCATCCTCACTTAAGCATAAACTATACACAACGTCTTTACTGAAGCAATCCTCACTTAAGCATAAACTATACACAACGTCTTTACTGAAACAATCCTCACTTAAGCATAAACTTCACCCAACATCCTCACTGAAACATAAACTATACACAACGTCTTTACTGAAGCACAAACTACACCCAACATCCTCACTGAAGCATAAACTATACACAACGTCTTTACTGAAGCAATCCTCACTGAAGCATAAACTAAACCTACACCCAAGGTCCTTACTGAAGCATAAGCCATGTACATGTGCCTTACTAGAAAGTGTTAGTGGTTTGATTCCTTATCTTAGCTGTTAGTGCACTTGTTTGATGTATGAAGGGTTTTGGGTTCGACTCCAATCCAAGAAAAATTAAATTACCACAGAAAACTGGCGCTCAAATACTGGTCGGCCTACGACCCTGAAATAAGGCTCGAGGTCGAGCATTGTTTTTGAGAGAGGAAGAATGTGGTTGTTTCACCTGTTAAAAAGTGCCTTATTAACAGTCTCTATAAAGTTAACCTTTTACCTCGGTTGGCAGAGAACTCATATAGTCTACAAGCAGTCCCGGGTTCAAGCCCTCCATGTGGGAGATGGAAAAGCTAAAATTACTAGGCTACATATCCTAAGTCATATTTCCTCAATAAGCCTTGAATCATACGCTTACGTAAGTCATACATACAACCTATATCGTTTAAAAAGTATGAAAGAATTCAGCTTGTGTCCTTTCTTGAAAAGTTGAAATTACTTCATCTCTCAAATCTTTTATAAGCACTATAAAATCAGGTTTTGATTAAGAATATATCAACGGTAAGAAATGGGATAATATTCAAAAAAGACAAATATGTTAAGTTATGTAATTCAAAAGATATTATTTTAAAAGAGCCGAAAAGATATTTAAGTTGTAGTGGATTTTCTTTGTTTTTAATGACAAAGCTTCTATGGCTATCTGCTACTGGCCACCAGAGGGAAAGCTGCCAGTAAACAGGATACTACCACTCACCATCTAGGCAATGATATACTGCCACTCTTATAAAGCATCTACAGCTTAAAGTGCTAAGAATATTTTATTGTATAGCACGGATTCGAACCCGGCTCACCAACTCAGAAATCCAGAGCTCTACCATCGGGTCAACCAGCTGTGAAAGTCGGAAGATATTACACTATAAACGCTAAAGAACAACGATATAATTCAATATATCCTAAGACAAATGAACAGAAAGGACACATAACGATTAACAGCTATTAATTATATTTTTTTAGAAAGAGAAGACTAACTGATTGTACTGTATTACTTTGCTCGTTACATTTCGACCAACATTAATAAAGAGTGGTGAGAAGAGTGGTATTAATCTAAATTATTCCATTCCTAACGCATCACTGAAATGTAAAGTGTATGCAGAAACACCCACACCAAATTTTTTTCCAGAACAGACTAGAATTTTCAGAACTGTTTCCGAGAACATTTTTCAATGCTATAAACACACAGTCCGCTAGTTTACTAACCTCCAAAGTACGATCCGTCAGAAAGGCTCGTAGCCACCTCGCCAGAAGACATGACAATATCGACAATCCCTTCTTGTATGAAGTACATCTTATTTCCCAGAGTTCCTTCTTTGATAATGATGTCTCCTGGTTGGAAGACTTCGTAGTGAAGTTTGGTCACCACATCGTTCACAAAGTTCTGATCAGCGTTAGCGAAAAACGGGACAGATGCCACGAGTTCACGACAGTTGTAATTGATTACGTCCTAAAATTTAGAGCAATAGAAAAAAAGACCTGCATCATTATCTAGGAGAATTCAATCAAACAAGCAGTTCATTCATGAATCAAAACCAATCATTTAATTCTTTGAAAATGTCTAAAGTTTGTACGTTACAAATGAACATCCAACAACGTATCAAATAGTTTTGTTTACATTCCACCTACATAACGTACACTCAGTAAATACGGGCCCCAAAACAAGCAAAATTAGAATTTAGAACGTAAACTTGGACTGAATAACGCTCGTTATTGGTTTTAGTGACAATACACGAGTAACTTGGCTGACGTATATCAGAGATCATACCGACAACAACAGTACGGTATGGTAAACTAAACCTTTTAAATATTACACTAGACAATGTTTATAATTAGTGACGAGTAAGCTGTTAGTTCTCTCTATAAAATAAGTATAAATGGGAAAAATATTACCGCAGACATTATGGAATATGAACTGAAATGGTGTAATAACTAATTAAGGTGAAAGTTGTTACCTTGTCTACACAGAGATATGTTACTATTGTGGATATCACTAGACCTAAGTTGTTACTTTGTCTACACAGAAATATGTTACTATTGTTATTGAGGATATCATTAGACCTAAGTTGTTACTTTGTCTACACAGAGATATGTTACTATTGTGAATATCACTA